GGACTGCGAGAAAGGTACCAGGGTCCAGGTGGACAGTTCTCAGAGGATGCTAAGAATTGCAGACCCAGATTCAAGATACAGTGGATTTTACAGCATGCAGAAACAGAACAACCTACAGGCAGATAATTTCTATCAAACAGTTTGAAGAATTGCACCCTTGCCAAGGATTTAAGAAAGAGAGAGAGCGAGAGAAAGAGAGACAGTCTGCTATTAAAATAAAACTAGAATTGTGCAGTTGCTTAGTGGATTGTATTGGATTTGTGACTACATGTACAGCTCTAAGACCTTTCTGGGATGAGCTCTGACTCCTGCAATGTGCCAGAAAAAGCATTCCCACTTTTCCTTGAGATAACTGACCAAGTGTTTTCTTAGAACCAAAGTTTTGAAACTTGTTAAGATGTATTTGCTTGTAACATAGCTATAGAGGTTTTTGGGAGGGGGAATCAGGGGCTAGGGGTAGGCAATGAAGTAAAAGGAAGTTTCAGAGAAGAAAAGCTGGTCAAGCTTGGCTGGAGATGAAAATATACTGCTGAGCAGCAGGATAGTGGTTTATCTCGTTGCTCTGAAATTGCATCTGTTGCAGCAAAAGCCTAACCCCAGGTGAAAAAAATATGAAAAGGTCTGATTATTTTTTTCCAGCTGTTGCTACAGTAATATACTCCTAGAACAGAATTTGTCACATCACAGGTGTGGTGTAGCTGCAAATATTTTTCTATATGATGAGAAGCTGCAGTAGTTAATGAAATAGCAAGGAAAAGATTATAGCAGAAAATAAAGGGTGGGTTTATTAAGGATGTACAAAATTATACCTTGTGCTGCTTTTTGTTTTTATTTTTGTTTTTATTTTTGTTTTCTTCAAAGCTGATTGGCTAGATTAGCCAGACTTCAGCAGAGTTAGCAAATGACTGAGGCCTAAGTAATTCCTGATATGAGCACTGGATCTTTTGACAGCAGTATTGAAGTGAGGAAGAAAGGGAGGAAGGATGGAAGGAAAACTCAAGAACACCATGCAGTTCCAGGGGCTTTTGTTTGTTTGTTTTGTCTGTTGTGGTTTTGTTTTGTTATTTTATATCAATCTCTGGTTGTTCATACAGGAGAAGGAAAAATATTTTTGTTGGACAAAGCTCTTGCGTACAAGAGAGTAAAAAAGAGACTGTTTTAAGGTTGTTGTTTTTTTTTCCTGTTGATGTTCTTATTTACTGGTATGCAGATTTAGAAACTACTTCCATGCTAGGAAGCTGCTTAATTTTAATTGTATATTACTCAAGCACCTTTTTTGAAGCTCAGAAAAAAAAAGGAGATCATGCTTCTTTAAACTTTAGCATTATAGGAATATTTATGTAAATATAATTATGCTAAAAACAACAAAAAGTATTTGTATGTTTGTGTATATATATGTATATACAAATGCATGTAGGTATACATATGTATATATACGTGCATGTGTATATACACTATACATATATATACTGTATATATAAAATACTATGTATACAGTATATATTTTTTTCTATTTTTTTTTCTTGTTGAATGTATTTTTATCTGAGAGAGATTTTACCCAGAGCAGAAACAGATAACAGGCATTCCATATCAATGCTTAATTGCTTGTGAGTTTAGGAAAGACAAGAAAAGAGCATCTCATTCTACCTACAGTTTGATTTGATTTGATTTGATTTGAACGTGTTTGTGTGTGTGTGTGTGTGTGCACTCTTGTGTTGGCGTGTGTTCAGTTCGTGCACGATTATAGCAGTAAGCGTTGCTCTTGCTACTTGCTACATTTCAGGGTGTTTCTTCTTTTTCTTTTCCTGCTTAGCCTTAAAAAGGCTTTTTAATGAATGCATTGGCTAGAGACACTGATGACAATATACATGCAGCACTAATCAACTCCATAAAATAACACAATCAGCTCCTGGATTTTGGTTGGTTTTGTTTTTCTTTTTGTTTTTCTTTTTTATTTTTTTGCAAACAATTGTTTGAAACAACTACTGGAATATTGTCCGCATTAAGCTGGAAGTTTGTTGTAGCTTGCCTCATTTATAACTCTGACTGTATAATACAATGTTAACTTTCCAAACAGGTCTTGGCACTTTTATACTAATTACCCATTTGTGCATTGCCTTTTTTCTTTTACAAATGCTTGTCATAAGAGACACAGATACCCAGTATGCTTAATGTGAAAAGAAAATGTATTTTTTGTAAAGGAACTCTCAAGTATTGTTGTAAATACTTGGTCAGAGATTGCTGAACTTTAAAACTGAAAAAAAAAAACTAATTTATTATTATAATGACCTAATTTATTAATCTGAAGATTAACAATTTTTTTTTGTTTTGTTTTAGAATATCAAAAAGGTGTTCTAGCTGTTTGCATCAAAGAAAAAAATAGGTGTATCATTAAGGGTCAACATTTTTTCTGCTTATATAACTTCAGTTTCCAACCACCAATAAGAAAAAATGTAGTCTCCCCAGTGTTTTGTACTCAGCCTGAGAATGAAACAGAGATGTTTCTGTCCAGTAACTACAGAGATTTTGTCAAGACAAAACATCCATTCCTTGCATAAGAGTAAGCAGTCTTTATCCAGAAATTGTAAATGCTTGCTTTTGTTTTACAATCAAGGCCATATTCTGAAAATATTAGCAGGATATAGGACATGGTGTAAAATGTTTTTATTATTATTATTTTATTATTATTATTTTAAAGATATGATTTATCCTATGTGCTGTATCCATTACACTCTTTTACTTTGGTTCCTGTTGTGCTCTTGTAAGAGAAATGCAGATATAATTTTCTGAAAAATAGATGCATATGTGGCACTCGGAGTGCACTGCGGTTCAGCAGATTGCTTGTTTACTTTTTTAACTGTAAGGCGGTTTCTTGTAATTTGGCTCTTGGCAGCACAATAAAAAATTTTAAACCTATAGACGCATGTCTTTTTAAATGTTCATGCTTAATCACTTCTGGGCACTGGTCCTTGAGACACTAGTAGTTTGATATTACGGTGAGTAGGAGTTTGTGTTATTGTCATGCTGACTTGGGATCAGAGCAGTTCAGAAAGTACTGTGGGTGAAGAAGAGTTTTCATGTACAGAAAGTTCTGCATATTACACTGAAGTAATTTCCCATTAGAAGCTTTGTGGAATTCCAAGTAGTTCCAGCGTACAGTAAAGATGAATCAAATGCAAAGTTAGGCCTTTGCCCTGCCATGGAGTTCACTTGGTCTAGTCTCACCTGACAGAAAGCCACGATTAACCATACAAGATTCTAATGTGAGGTCCTACAAAAAGTGTATGGAATCAGAATTTGCACTTCATGGACTTCCTGAACCACAGAGCAACTACTCATCTCTTAGGCTATAATGGGGTTTTTTTCTTCTACTAATTTGTAAGTTAATTAACTTGATGTCCAAGTTCTGGTATGTAAGAACCTGAGGCAAAGTGGTTTTCAGCTTAACTACTTGCTCTGTGAAAAACTGCCTCCTTTCTTTGAACCTACTCTCCTAATGGCTTCATTTAATATCCCTGACACTGCATTCCAAGCAGCAGTACATCAGTACTTATATGTCACACACTGATTTAGAGACCTGTATCTTGTTTCCATTTTCTCTTAAGAATCCCGATATACAATTCTTCAGGAGTAGTTCCATGCCGTATGGCCGACCTTGCCAGTCCTTGTACATCCTTTAAGGTGAAGGGTAAGGCTGAAAATGTCCACATTGTTCACATGTGGTACTCCCTGGATGCAGCATGGTGTTTATTGTTTGGATTGCTACTGACTGCCAAGTCATTGTTCTTGCAGAGCTAGCTGCAATAATACAAAAATGCCCAATATTGCAAAGCCCATAATTGACTTTACTAGGATAGATCTGTATTTATGTCCATGTCTTTGTATTTCATCGTGCTGAATTTTTTCTCCCTCGCTAGTTACCTGTTCCAGCATTATTGCTCCTTCCCAAGACTAGAACTATGAAAGACTTATGTCTTCTAGAAGAGGATCTTCAAATTCCACAAGCATTTAGGGTTTTCATCAGAATGAAACAGAAAACATCATGTATAAAACAATGAAAACATCAATGTATAAAACAACGATGCATCCACATTTTAACACTCATAAGTAGTTCTGGCCTCCTCTGCTTTACAAGGTCTGAAAGGATCATATTTGGAATGCCTATTTACACTAGGGTTTGGCAGCCTGTCATAATCCTGAGTAGGATAGGATGCAAATCCTTTCAATGACCTCAGTGGCACTCCAGTGCTTAACTAGGAATGCATTTTCCACTTGCAGTGTTGCCAAACATCAAGTAGGAAGAACAGAGAGAAAATTAAAAGAAGCTCAAACTGAATCAGGAAATTAAGCAGAGAAAATTGCTGGTACGTACTTTAGGATATACAAAAAAATCATGGCTGCTCAAAAAAAAAAAATAAAATAAAATAAAAAAGCCCATACTAAGCTATTGCACGTAAAGGCACAATACAAAGCTAGCAAAGGATGGGCATGGGAGTCACATTGCTGGCAAGAAAAAGTTGTCTCCAAAGCTTAGTTTCTTGTGTACTAGGTGACTGAATGGAGGCATCAATGACAGTATAAAAACAAGTTACAACAAAACTACTGCAAATACTCCTACTACGGCAGAGGCACTGCAACTGGTGATCTTTAAAGGTCCCTTCGAAACCAAACCATTCTACGCCTGCCCCTCCTGCCCGATGAGCCGGCCCTACTCGGTGCGGAGCCGTGAGTCAGTACGGACTCCGCTGTGTGCGGCTGCCACATCCCAGCCCGGCTCTGCGATCGCTGCCTCAGCCCGGCCCCGCTCTGCGATCGCTGCCTCAGCCCAGCCCAGCCCCGCTCTGCGATCGCTGCCTCAGCCCAGCCCAGCCCCGCTCTGGGATCGCTGCCTCAGCCCAGCCCAGCCCAGCCCCGCTCTGGGATCGCTGCCTCAGCCCAGCCCGGCCCTGCCCTGTAATCGCTGCCACAGCCGGGCCCCGCCCGCCGCGCGCCGCCGGGAGCGCGCACCGCCGGGAGCGCGCAGCGCCGCGTCCCCAGCTATGGCGGCGGCGGCCACCTCGCAGCGAGACCCGGGCGATTGGCAGGACTTCTCGGGATTCCAGCCGTCCGCGGGGAGCGGCCCCGAGGCTGCCTGCGACAAGGGCGGCTGGGGCGGCGGGGATCTCGGGGCGAAGCTGTCCCTCTGCTTCGAGCCCCCGCAGGCCCGGGCTGGCGGCGGCGAGAGCCGCGTTCCGCTGCGGCCGCTCACGGAGCAGAGCGCGCTGCAGGACGATGAGTGAGTGCGGGCCGGGAGGCGCGGAGAGGGAGAGGGAGCGGAGGGGAGGCCCGGCCCGGCCCGGCCCGGCCCGAGGGGACAGCGCGGCCCGCCAGCCCTGCCCGGCGAGAGCGCTACCCCTGGGCCTTGCGGAGCCCAGCAGGGCTTGTGGGCTGCGGGAGCGGAGCCTTTCCCCGCCCCCGGGGCTGCAGCTGGGAGCCGCCGGGCCTCGGCGAGGGGGCACGTTCGGCCGCCGCGGCGCGGGTTTGGCCTGGAGCCCTCTGGCTTTATCCCCCCGACTGCCAGGGAAGCGTGTGAGCATCGCAGAGCTTCTTACCCCGCCGAGCTAGCGAGAAGTGCTGGTTCAGAAGTGCAGTGACCGTGGTTAGTATTTGTTTAGCTTCTTGCAAAGTGTCCGCTGTCTCGCTGCTTGAATTTAAATGTGGAAAGTGCAGAAAGCAGGTGAAGAACAAAACTGCAGCTGCAACTGAAATAATTGTTTGGAGTTTTTTTCCTGGAGGAATAGAGCCTTTCTGAGCCATTCTGCTGTACAGTTTTTAACATTATCTCACGAATGCTTCTATTTCTTATTTTATAGTAAATTTAGTCAGCTAATCTTTATTTAAAATACTGCTGTCTTGCTTTAAGGTAACTCAACTGTATGTCTTGTTCTTCTAAGAGAAGAATAAAAAAAAGCCTGTTAGCAAAACACTAGATCTGTGGTGTAAACACTGAGGTAAGTTCAGTGAACCATGAATCATGCTGGGCAGTGATGAGGCTCTGTCTGCCTTTCTGTGTCTGCCTCGGCCTTTCCTCTGACCTCCTGTGAGCCTGAGCTAGGCAACCATTCCAAACATCCACCCACAGCATAGCGCCTGGAGGCAGGGCTTGGCTGGGGACTTGAGGAAGCAGCCTGCTCGCAGTGCTGCTGTGGTTAAAGACTGAGCTGCTTCAAGCCTCAGGTCTGCACGGGCCAGCCTCCAGGACAGCCAGAGAGGATACACACTCTAGAAACAGTAAAGACTGACCGAGGACAAGAGTGGTGGGCTGAGCTCTCCTAGAAGAAAAATTGTTTCTTCCAAAATTTTAGTCTGATCTGTGTGTTTTCATTATTCTGTGATAAATGGAAAGGAAATAAAGAAAAGACTTGGCTCAGAATTTGCTGCTCAGCCTCTGCTAAACAACATTAGGAATGCAATTTATAGCTCAGCTCAAGTTTCATTGACGGAAAGGCTCATCCACCCCCAGAAAAGATTTTGAGTGTAGTTACATAATTAGTATAGAAGCTATGTCTTCATTTATTGGGTTTTTTTCACTGCTGTGCATACATTGTTGCTTAAAAAGGGAATTAACTTACATTTATCAAAAAACATTTTCTCATACCTTTAAAACACTAAAAATGTTTTCAGTAACTTGCAGATGAATATTTAGGGAGGAAAATACAGTTACTGATAGAGATATATGATCATTAGGAATATGGTTATTTCTGATTCAGTTGCTGCTTGTTTTGAGGTCTGCATTTTTGTTCCTTTATTATTTTCTTCAGGATTTGGAATGCCTTGACTGATAATTATGGTAACGTGATGCCAGTTGACTGGAAATCTTCCCACACCAGAGCTTTGCACTTGCCAACACTGAATCTTTCAGAAAAAGGGGTAAGTTCTGATCAGCAGAAGTACCCTCTTTGGATCTTTGGTACTCAGCAGGGAAGTAAAACTGTCTGCATTTGTATAAAAGAATGTTGCTTTTAAGTAGCTGGAAATATTTTCAGTACTTGCTATTATACTTGAGAGCTTTTTAAAAATCAAAGAACCATTGATGGATGTTTCCGTCACCCTGGGCTGGAATAATTCAGGGTTAGTTTTAGATGATTCTTCATTAGAGCCAGAGCATGATAGAAAAACATGTAAAATGAGAAAGTGTTTCACATAAAATCTTTCTGCTCTATGATTCATTCATGTTGAACACTGGTCTGGGTAAGGGAAGAAAAGAGGCAAGAGTTACTCTGATTTAGTAAATCCAGTGAGAACTTTCCAAAGTTCATCTAATTCCACAGACAGATGGCTCGTTTAACAAGAAAGGTGGCCCAGGAGACACTGAAGTGCAAGAGCTTGTTTTGTTTTCCTTATTTAAGAGTTAGAATAGTTCTCTGGGGCAGGAACAGAAAATTAAGAGCTTCAGCAAGGTTTATAGAAAGGGTTGTCCTCTGATGATCTTAAAAGTGGATTAAAACACTTCAGGAAGAAAAGCTGTGACGAATTCCCATCTCACAGGTTTTCTGAGGAAAATTGTGGCTTATCTTTTAAACATAGTGAAGTTAAGTTTGGCTTATCTTTTAAACATAGTGAAGTTCAGTTATGTTGTAAAAATACCTGAGTTTGTAACCTGAGAATTGGTTAATGCTTTGGCTTCTGTCAAAGATAATTGATTATCATTAGCTAATCAACAGGTGCTTTTTGCTGTGACAGGAGCAAAGATTGTTCTGCTGAAGAAGAAGATACTTTGGGGTTCAGTAGAGGGAGGTGCAAATTTGGAACTCGTTTTCTTGATTTGCATCTCATGGTTATCCCTTGAATTTGACTTATGTTTCTTCTAATTTGAGTCCTTGTTCAGATGTATAAATGGCTTTAGAGTAATTAAATTCCTACAGTTTAACTAATAATACAGCCCCGCCATGCTGTGACCTTGTGTCAGAGAAAAATTGACTGGAAGACTAATGGATTTCTTGGTAAGGAACTAAGTATAGTACATAAGAAGATGTTTCGTATAGTTTTTTTAAGTTAGTTGCAGGAAGTTATGAAGAAAGTACATAAAAAAGTGTAAAGTGTTTCTGGATTAGAAAGAATCTTAGATATGCTGCCAGTAGAGAGAAAACCAGTTCATGGATTAAATGTATCTGAAGTTTTTTCAGCTTTCACTCCACATGGAATGCCTTCTGATGTGTAAAGGCTGTGGGGAGTGTTTGACATACTTTCATGCTTTTCTTCTGCTGCTTTGTGTTCAGCAGTATTGCTGGATATGTGACAGCACATATGGACCAGCTAGTATCTTGTTTTATCTTCCTTACAATGATAACTAACAGCTAAGTAACACTTCCCTGATGTGTTTGAAACTAATAATATGCTACCAAAATTGTGCAGAAAGCATTTCTCCTCCTGTTTAGTAGGGAAAGATATGAGGTCAATAAGGCTGATTCACCTGATCTTGGTTCCTTCATATGACAGGTCTATGCACACTTCTATACATTCTGACAGTGAAAGAAGTAGCTGGGTGGAAGTTTTGTGCTCAGTGGTATGAGGAATGGAATTGTGCTATTCCTTGTTTGCTTTGTTTTTGCTAGATTGCTTTTAAATGGCTCATTCCCTGGTAGCAGGAGGACAGGAGGCATGGAGTGTGGCTGGGTGCAAAGCCAGGTGTTCCTTTTAGTCCAGGTTACAGCTGATGCCATTTTTGCTGGTTTATTAGTCTGTATTATCAAAATGTTTTTGAAGGGCTCTCAAAATGTTTCTGGAGATGTCAGGAGTGAAAGCAGATCTCCTTCTAGATAGACTTGCTTACTTATGCTTGCTTACTATCCCACCATTGTTGTCATATCCTATGTGCGTGAAAAAATACTTGGGGACAGCAGGCATTTAAAAAATGCCAAATTGGAGTGCATCTGTGTAGTAGGTGAAGAGAGAGTCCTAGTGGAGCCTTTCACTGCAGAGTTACTGGAATTCAGATTGTGGAAAAAAGTGGACATTTTACTTCATTCTGAGGGCTGAAGAAGTGAAAATTGTGCGTTTATCTCTACAGGTGAGCTATCTGGGGATATCGGTTGCAGGTTCAAAACGAATCTGGGAACTTATTAAGGTTTCTGATGAAACTGAGAAAATTGGAGAAATTACAAGAAAAATTGAAAACTGATACTGTGAGAGCAAGAGCTTTGTACAGCCAGTCAAAATGCTTGTAAATTAGCCCAAAGATCAGTTAAGGCAGTTGAGCTCAAATGGCAGACATTGGGCGTTGCAGCTTTGAGGGGATTTTCTAGGCTAGAATCTAGTAATAGACAAAGTACAGAAACAGTTTTGTAAATAAACCAGGATATATCACTGTGAGAGTAAAATATGCCTGACTCATTAAGGAGGGGACTTACGTATATCTTTGGTTTGAAAGGATGAATATAATTTGGTGGTGTATATATGAGAACAGTGTTACTTCTCTTTCTTTCTGAAAAGACCCTGAGATATTCAATTACACTTTTTTTTTAAATAATCTGGAGTGATACCAGTGTTCTGATACCACCGTTCAGGATCAACTCTTCTCAGGTTTTTTCCATGTCTTCTATTATGTGATAAAGTGGAGCCATAAAAGTACTTAAAGTAAGAGGTTTGTGTAATATTAGACATTGTAGGCAAGTTTTTCACCCCACACAGACATTTGTCAATCTTCAATTAAGATTTAAGTATTTACTTGATAGCCTCCCATCTAGATATCTGCATGTCAGTGTGTATATGGTCTTTTTCTGTGGACATTATTTAATGACATTAATGATTGACAGCTATTTTAGCTTTGTCCAAGTGCAGTTTTGGTTTCATTTTCCAGGCTATTTGACAGAAAGAACTATTGATTCCATTATGGTGGGCCAAGTTCAGTTTCATTCTTAAAATTCAGTGTTATTGTCCCCATTTGTTTTTTGTACATGTCACGTGCATTTTATACCCTCACATTAGGGGTGTGTATATATATTTACATAAATGCACCTTTTCATGCTTTTTAGGTAAATGACAACTTGAACCTTGACTTGTCAGATGATGAAGAGCTGAGAGAACAGTTGGATATGCATTCTATCATTGTTTCCTGCATCAATGAAGAGCCACTCTTCACGGCAGAACAGGTAAAGTGCTCAGCAAAGACTCTGTTGTTGGTGTAGAATGTTTTTTTAGTCTGTTATTATTTTTGTTGTTCTTGCCCTTCACTGTAGCTAAGCTTCTTGGTCGTTCTTTGTTTAGGGTTTTAATAATGTGGGAGATAGCATTACATCATTCAGATTTGAAAAGTGTTTCAGTACTTCAGGTGAGGTTGATAGTCCAGGGTCTTTGAAATCTTTGGTATTTCTTACCATGAATTAGTCAGGAATGCTACTAAATTAAATATATGTGTAAGAAGCAAAATTATTTTCAGAATCTTAGTGGTATGGTAGAGTTTGTAATTTTCTAGCATAACTGTGTGGCACTTCATAGTTTCACAGGGCTTTGCTTTTAGCAAGAGTTCTTTGAAGTTTTTGCCTAACATGAGGGCACATCAGTGTTTCTGCTATTAAGATTTCAAATTACTTGGTATCTAAAGTCTTTAAATCCATGGATTTACTTCAGTTATCTTGAAAATTGCTCTTCTTAGTAAGGTTAATGAGAGTAAGGTCTATTAAAATCCTGCTTTAGTAAGCAAACAATCTATTTTGTTGTTGCTTAAATGGTTAAGCAATGGTTAATCTGTGAACTCTGATGAACACGGTTATTAATAGTACAGGAGACAGGGCTGCTTGAACTGCCTCGGCTCTTTTTTACTGTGGGCTGGATCTCAGCACTGACTACAGCCTCTAAACTTCTAAAAGTTGCTGTGTTATTTATTCAGATGTCTATTTAATGGTTTAGCCTGTAGAAATGTAATAGTTTATGTGATGTAAAGTAAGCTATCTATGCACAGAATTTCTGTTGTCATACTTTTTGTCTGGCTCAGGTCTTATGCCAGGGATGCAAACCAACTTCAGGTTATGGTGGATCAGTTCAAAAAACTTCTCACAAGCACAGCAGATTTTCAGGCTGTTTAGAGGGGCATTTTGGTTTGTCAGAGAGTTTTTTGTGACTTTTTCTTTGTTGTTTTTGTTTGTTTTCATTTTGTTAGTTTCTGGTTGGTGGAGGGAGGGGTCTTTGTTTTACACAGAAAAATGTGGTGGAATAAAGAGTGGGGGAGGTAACTGATTTTTGTTATTGTGTCTTCCTTCAACTGAATATTCGGAAAAGATACTCCAGCTTACTCTTTAATTTAGTTCTCTTAAGCAGAATCATGGGTACCTTCATACAGAAACAACCCCATAGTTTCAGAGCACTTCTTGTTATACCATCACCAATTTACTGTTACAAGGTAACAGAGAGCAAGGATAGGGAGGAAATGTCAGTATGATTTTATTGATCCTCTTCCATCTAGTCTTGGTGGTAGTTTCATCCAGCTTTGCTTCAAATTGCAAGCTCTTCATGTAGGAGGGTTTTCATAAGGGTTTTCGTTTTCAAAGGTGATTGAAGAAATAGAGGAAATGATGCAGGAATCGCCTGATCCAGAAGATGATGAAACACCCACCCAATCAGATAGGCTCTCTATACTTTCCCAGGAAATTCAGACCCTCAAGAGATCCAGTACAAACAACAGCTATGAAGAGAGTAAGTGGTATTTATTTAGCATTTTTGCTCTTATGCTTAATGAAAATAATTTAAAGCGTAAGTTTGCCATGTGCTTGATTCTTAGCAAGTCCTTCTTATGAAATATCTGCATTCAAAAAATATTTTCAAAATGTTCTGAAATAGTAGCCTAGATTTAGTGGTAGAGGACTTACCTTTGTCAGCTTTCTTAAGACTAAGAATAAAAATAAGACTTTATAGATTTTAAGTTTAAAGCAAATATGCTGAAGGTTGAAACATTGGAATGAGATTGCTTCATGGGTAAAGTGATAAGTTGGTAATTTTTTATTAAACTTCATTATTTTTCTGTAATGTGGGACACTTTCTTGAAGCCAATACAATGTTTAAGATGCGCTAAAGCTCTTGAAAGCTATTCAGTAAATAAAGCTTTACCATACCTTTGATACAGTTTCACTCATTGCAACATGTCTTGATAGACAGTAACACAAAAATAAGGCAACCATGTCTTTTTTGCCCCATACGGACCATGCATATTTTTCGATCCTCCCTGTCCATTCCTCTTCAGAAAGCTTAAAAATGAAAAATATCCTTTGTATCTTCTACTCAGATGAAATTCTTCTACTCAGATGAAATCATCTGTGCTTCCCTATACAAAGCAAAGGAAAAATTAGATTAATAATTAAATTGCAGTAGGTTGAATTGCATGTTAAAAAAACCCTGTGACTAATCAGTTTCATGATGGAAAATTTTGTTTAATCTTTACATTTACCAACATGAATTCTAGAAGGTAGTAGGGACACAAAGAACTTTTGATAGATGGTCTTTCTGCTTTGGTCTTTCTTTAAAAGTTTGTTGCTCTCTTTCCTGTAGTCTGGGTTAACAATACAAACTCTGTAGAAGATTCAGAAAACTGGCCGACCTCTTGTGGCATGACTTAGAGTTTCTGCTACATTTCAGATTTATGGAAGAGATTCCAACCATGAAAATGGTCTCTTAACTGTCTCAACACATAAATTTCAGGAAAGTGAAAAGCAAAATGTATTGTGTTCAGCAGGGCTTCCTGGTTTTCTGACAGTTCCATATGTCTTAAGGTTTGGAGCTAATCAAGCTTGCTCAGTATTTCATATCATGTCAATTTTCCTTTGCCTCAGGAGTTCATCTTGTCTGTTGCATCTTTACAGTTTAAAGGTCAGTCTCGACCAAATAGTGCCTTGAGTTACTTTGGCAGATAATTTAACTTCGCTTCAGCAGTTTCTCGGATTCTGCTTTTATGTCTTTCAGGTCACTGCTTTATTAAAAACTCTTGCTACCTATTTTTAGTGTGTGAAGGTGCTTGAGAATTGGTCTGCATCTCTCAGAAATTTTTACAGGTTTTTCCTAGGAAATCTTGATTTTTATAGGATAGATCAGAGATTTTCATTCATTTAGGATTCAGAGCAGGAAATCACTTTTATTTACTTTTTTCTTGGAGAGTAAAAGACATACATTAAGGCAGTCCAAAAATAAAGCTCTGGTTACACAAGTGAGTTCCTCAGCCTACTGAGTTTCAGTCCATGTAGTCTTCTGCATTTGAATTCCTCTGTCCCCACTCATGTGCATTGGCTGAGGATTTCCTATGTAGCCCTTTCAAGACTTTGATAATGACAACTGATCTGTCATCAGTCAGGACTGCAGTAGGGTAACCTACACCTGTGGTTTTAGAACAATTGGTTTTTAGGCTGTGAAGCTGGTTCTTAAGTGTTGATACTCACAGGTGCCCTCTCTGAGTACTGTTACAGTGTTTGAACAGAGTTTAAGGCCTAAGCTACCTTGAAAAACTGTGGCTCCTTGACATGGAATTTAATTAACAGGTTTCATTGCCTTTTCTTCAGTTAAGTAAGTGACAAGAGTTTTCTCCAATCAATTTTCATTGCTGTAATTTAAGAGAGAAAATTCACATTTCACTTACTACCTTTGATGCTTCTAGGAGCTACACTTTATTGTAGTTTGTGGCCTTTTTTGTATTTTTCAACACTTGTCTGTAGGTGCTTTCTCTTACAAGTATTCTTGTAGACAGGATATTTACTAGACTAATTAAATGAAATTAGATAATTGCAAGTATCTATGCAGTGTCCTTAAACAGATTGTACCTGTCAGTGTAATCAGGACTAGCTGTTTGTCAAGTGCCAAATAAGATTATGTTCTTTGACACAGCAGCTGCTGGGACTTGCCAGCTTCCTAGGTGTGTCAGATCTAAACTGGAACAGAAAGCAGTCCTCAAAAATCTGCTTTTTTTTAACCCAAGCAAGCCTTAAAACATTTTCTTGGTCATAATAGCACTATCTGTAACACATCACCCAGTAGTTCAGAAAATATGAAGCCCTTTTCCTTTGAACAGTGAGTGTAGAGGAAACTAATAGTTAATAGCTGTGTCAGAAGTTTAGCACTTAATTCAGCTTCCAGCATAAACTACCAACACATTCTTCATATTTGCAGATTATCCCAGATTTCTCAGAAGTAAGAAGAAAATTTAACCATCTTATTGTTGCTAATCTTGTCACCTCTGGGGTGTGTTTATTCCTTTAGGAATATTGTTTTGTTCTATGTGATTTTAGAACTGAATTTTTTGTTTTGAGAAATTTCAGAGTACATTTTTCTTGTAACTCCCACAAGTTTACTCATGCTTAAAATCTTGACATATTACTTTTTATATGAACTATTTGTAGGAGTCAAAAGATTGTCTGTTGCTGAATTAAATGAACTGCTAGAAGAAATTGAGACTGCTATTAAGGATTATTCTGAGGAACTGGTACAGCAGCTGGCTCTACGAGATGAGCTGGAGTTTGAGAAGGAAGTGAAAAACAGCTTCATTTCTGTCCTCATTGAAGTACAGAACAAACAGCGAGAACACAAAGAAACAGCAAAGAAGAAAAAGAAGCTGAAAAATGGTAGTCCTCAGAATGGCAAACAAGAAAGAGGTCATATGCCTGGAACAGTAAGAAAATTTTTATAAGTCTTTATACGTTTAAACTTTTTTTGGGGTTTTTTTCTGCTATGGGAGGTAGTAGTCCTAGATTATATTAAGATACCTGGTACTCCTGCTTCCATGCCTTCATTCACAAACAAGGCTTAAGCTTTTCCTGTTTAGAATTTTTTCACAGGGTCATATATTTTACTCTTTTCATATGCAGAAAATATTTTTTGACTGTTTGCAAATCAACCTGGAACTGGCATACCTTTCTTGCAAAAAATACTGTCTTTGGATGTACTACTCTGCGTTCTATTGTCAGTAGGCAAATTCATTTATGTGTTTGGTTTCACTGTGTGAATTTTAGTATGTGTTAGTCTTGCAGGCAATTCAGTACTGTTCTTACTGTCATTGCACACATATGTATTGATCATGCTGGTTTCTAGGTAGGAAAAAAGTGAAGGTCTTACCCTGGATCTCCTAACCTGTGGCAGAGTTACTATACTCAACAAGAGACAGGAAGGAGGCCAAAGTGTAGTGCATGTATACAGGGAAGAGATAATTTGTTTTATTCTTTACAGAACATAGCAACAAAAGGAAAAACATCTTTCAAGTAGAGTTGGATAAGAGGAGTCAAAGAACAAAAGAAATTAGGTTATTAGCTTGTCAATGCAATATTTTCTTTCCTATCTGTTTAGTATAATTTAAAATTACTTAAGTGACATATTAATGTTTGAATTTATTAGTGATTCTTATGGGATTTAAAAAATGTGGTTTTGTAGATCTTGGCTAAGTCCCAGAAATAATGTTTGAGTTCAACATGAGATGGTTTTGGGGTTTTCTTTTCAAATACAAGGAATAAACATTTATAATGAAATATTAAATGTTAGAAATTAATTCAAAATTTATTTCTAAATTTACAAACATAAGATACCTGTGATATACCCCAAATAGGGTTCTGATCTCATCTGTCAAATGAGAGATGTTTGTGTGTGTGGCTAAGTTTTGGTGGAACTTAAGAAAGTATATGTCTGGAAAACCATACAAAATTGTCATCCATTTACAAGAGCACAGTGAATAGTTCCTTTTTCCTTGCCAGTCATGGAAAAACAAAAGGGGATATTCTACCTAGAAAGAAAAATAATTACTTTGTTTTGGAACTTGAGTGATTCACAAGCTGTTCTAGTTAGTTTAAAGATTAGAAACTTGAATGATGCTTTCAGGTATAACTTTGCATGGTCCCAGGATAAGACATTTTGGTGTTTGGTCGCTTCAAGATACAGATGTGTCAGGTTGCTTTCTAAGAGGGATTGAACAGACTGGCTCACAGGTGAGGCTGTAGCAGCATGTGTGTGATTCCTTTGAAAATAGATTTCACTGTCATCAAGGACAGATTTGAGAGCTGTCTCCCAGAAGGAGGTGCAAGGTTCAAGGTTTCTTTCTTCAGCAGCCCCTTTTTTCCTTTTTTTTTTTTTTTGAAGTGCTGAGAATGTGGTGCATGCAGATGCAAGGTTCAAGGTTTCTTTCTTCAGCAGCCCCTTTTTTCCTTTTTTTTTTTTTTGAAGTGCTGACAATGTGGTGCATGCAGATAGTATGTTCTAGTTGCTTTGTGAAGACTGAGTTCCTGTTAATAAATAATGTATTCATTGGTTATTTTGTTAACTGTACTGAAGTCTCATTTAAATGCAAAGCTTGGAAGTAGAGTTAAATTGTCTTACTCATAAGAAAATTAATTTTCCTGTAGATACTATAACTGAATATAAAAAAAACCCCAGATATTATAATTATTTTGTCCTTAATACCGTCTTTGGGTAAATCAGTTTCTCAGACTTCTAAACTTTTACCTCTTTCATAAGGGGAAACTAGGGAGCAATTAAAAATCGTCAGGGCTTGAAGATACCCGTTCCTTCAATTAGGATATCTTAAAAGAGTTAAGATGGCTTTGGCAAAATGTATGTCTTTACTGACCTTGTGTGCTTTAGACGGTAAAATAACACTGTATTCCAGCACATTTTATTCCCCTCACATAAATAAATAGTTTCAGATAAACATGCTGAGGTGTGCTCATCATATTGCCCTATGTCAGCAGCTTGGCTCTTTCTTCTTTTTATGTTCATGTCACTTGGTGATTTTATATCACATGCTAAACATCAAAACCGTTTTGATTTTTTTTTACTTCTCCAACAAGCAAAAAGGATTACAAAGTTCAAGGAAAAATGTGTAGTTGGATTATATACTGCTTTTTCTTTACTTGGATTCCATGATTCCATGCAGTGGGACTTGAAATTAATATGGGTGTGTTATTATCTAATTGTGTATATTTTATAGTATTATAGAATACAGGGAATACTAATCTATGCTTCAGTTGTGGAAAAGGAAGCATGAAAGCATTAAAAGTTTTAAAGAGTTGGAGCTGAAAATTACTACCTCTGAACAGTGTTTCTAGTACATGCTTAAAATCTGAAAAATTGGTGTCAATAGTGTCTCTAAACATACATTGTTCAAACACAAACGTTAGAGGGAATTTTACAGTGAGCTGAACTTTGAAAAATGCTATTTTTATACAATTCAAAATGAAACAGCCGTAAAAGGCAAGTCTCGATTATTGAGTCTGCAGTGTGAAGATTTTGTTTGAATAAATATTGGTGTAGAAATTCTGCTTAACTGCCATTATAAGGTTTTCTTTTTATTTAAAAAAATTAAGTAGGTGAGTAAAGAAATAGAAGTGTGCTGAAATACACCTTGGAGCTTGTCTTATCCATTTGTCTTTCATAGTCTTGATAAATGCTGATTAATAGTCTTCTGAACTTTTCTCTGTCCCTTTTTTTTTTTCTTTCTGCTTTGTTTTCACTACTTTTAGCGCTTCAGCATGGAAGGGATCTCAAATGTCATACAGAATGGCTTCCGCCACACCTTTGGAAACTCAAGTGGAGAGAAACAGGTGCTGGGCTATCTTCTCCCTTTTTTCTCATTCTTTGCCTGCACTTTTGGTAGGAGCTGAGATCTTAAAAATTGACAGTAGCTGAAGATAAATGCTGAGACAGGAAAAAACAGAATAAAATTCTGGAATCTCTGCTTCCCTACCTCAGGTTTCTGAACTGCCTACAGTCTCTTTCTCTCCTCAGCAGCTCAAGAGATTCAAGACTTGATACCCTGATGCACTGAGCTAATTATTAACCTGTATTTCTTACCCCAGACTGAAAGTCTGTTTTAACATAATGTGTGCTTTTGATACATTGCATGTCTGTAAAAATCTAATAACCAGTCAAAGAATGTATCAGGTTAGATGTAGTATTTCAGCCTTCAGCATTAGCAATTACATTGCATGTCTGTAAAAATCTAATAACCAGTCAAAGAATGTGTATCAGGTTAGATGTAGTGTTTCAGCCTTCAGCATTAGCAACTTGAGTAATAAAAAAAGGTTTTGATTTCTTTTTTCTTCAAATGTTCAGAGCTGATACATCTAAAAACAGAGCAGCACCTCGAAAATGTATAGACTGTACTTTTTTGCCTTTAAAAACTGCATTTTAAAGGTAGCCAAATATGTGCAATGCAGATTACCAATATAAAATACAGGAGCTATAGGCAAGTTTGTGCCTTTTGTTGGTTATTTAAATATTGAAATGTAGAGCAGAGACAGCTTCAGTGGGCATCAGATGTTGCGTGTACCTTGGAAGCACTTTATAGATGTTGTGTGTACCTCAGAAGCAAGATTCTTATGCCTTATTTCAAAGTAATAACTTGCCTGCTATTTCAGATCTGTAGTATGTATTTTATTAACTGCATTCTGAATTTTAGTGAACAAGCTAATGCTTGTGCTGTTGTTTAGTCTTTTGGCACACAACAAAATATTGGTATTTCACATTATTTAATGTGTACACACTATTTTAGTTTATGCAGTTTTGTCAGAGGAGTCCATTAGAGTTATTTTTTTTCCCTGGTGAGAAGTCCATTGAGGCAATAAATTGACTGGTACTTTAGAAGTCAAGGCTGATTAGGCTTTTGTCTGGAAGATGAGTGTTGTATCCTGCAGAGGAGTTTAGGAGGTAAAACAACTCCTCTCAAGTCATTCTGCAATTATGAGACTAGAAATCAAAGGCTGACCTGCTTTCTCAGGCAAAGCATATGTATGTATGAGATTTTATGAATACATTGATCCAGTTATTTATTTGTCCTCAGCTTTGGGGATCTTGAACACATGCACAGAGCTTACCTAACAGGACTTTTTATCACTCTGTGTTATTACACTACTAGTAAAGCTGTACCTGTATGCTGGTTTGGTTTTTTGGGTTTTTTTTTCCTTGGCTATCTTAACCATAAATTACAGCTGTTTATACCTGTATCATTAGATATTTTAACTATCATATATTTTCATAAAATGAGCTCACCTAGCTACGTCATCATACTTTTGGTTAAAAGACTTTCACTGCCTCCTATATAGATAAATAGTAAATAGTATAATCACACGTTAAAATGATTGAATAACTCTTCCAGTCATTTTTGAGTTAATTTACTAATGTAATTCTTCATGTTGATCATACTTGTTGATACATGTTGGTCTCCCAAAAAGTATGATCTCTCTTTTCTATATCCTTATGGATATAGAAAACCCCTTATGGGGTTTTTTATTCCCCTTCCTGTATTTTAAAGGAAGTCACAGAAGTAATATGAATTTAAAATTAAATGTAGGGTAGAAAGTAGAAGAGATACCAGCTCTTTTATGATTTATGCCTGGAAATCTATTTTTCTATGGCATTTGTTTTCTATTTGGGAGGGTTTTGTTTGATTAGGATTTTTTGTCTCATAGTGGGTACTTCCCTTTTTAAAATCTTAGTCCCATTTTCTGTGCATGTGTTTGAGACATAAATAAAAATCACTTAAGAGATTTTCACCATGTAAAGAGAAGCCTCCAATGGGAACTCCCTGTTCCTATCTGGAAATGTAGTAAAAAAAAAAACTATTGAAATGTTGGTAGCTCTTTCTGGGATCATATTTCCAGAAGAAAATTCAAGACAGTCATCTTTACTTTGATTTTCAGGCATATCAAACACTTTTCTTAGGCGATGAAAAATTGCAGTGGGAATTGCTGCTTTATCATGTCATCAAATCTGCTTCAAAAATTTAGAGGTCACAGCAGATTAAACACTTGGTCTTGTCAGTAAGCTACACTTCAGTCACTCCTTCATTATTTTCATAATATGTTATCTTCACACAGTAATTCAGGAAATGAGTTTTTATAGTGCTGTTATAGAGACTGATTGTTACAGCTGCAAAGGTGATGACTAGAAGGAAAATATTTCTGGAAATGAAGAAATTCCTTTTTTTTGTTTTTAATTGCTGCTGTTAGGAAAAATGAAAGGTGAAGTTTACAGGAGAAGCAAAACAGGGTTAGTTGATATTTGGTACAGTGAAATATCCTAGTGTTTTATTGTCCAGGTAGAGGGTAGAATGCCATGTAGTTCTGAAAGCTGGGAAAGACAGCCAGAAATCTGATTTCTGTGTTAGTAGATCCACTTTCATCTCTGCTATTGGCAGATTCAGCAGACTTATATTCAGCTATAGATTCTATATTATAGATATATTCTATATCTATATTCTGGTGATTTTATTAAGAGCACAGTTCTCTGGTGATACTTGGTTACATCTCCTGGAAAAGAAATTGGAAATTGATTGTTTCCCGAGAAGCACTGCACCCTTTTCTCTGCTGTGCTGAGTGGGCATGAAAAAATGCCGAAAGAAAAGGGAGGGAGAAAAGCACCCTGTGTTTGCAGCAGGTCTTGGGGAGGTGTCAGCACCACGTGTGCAGTTGGTTCAGTGCTGCTGAGCTGTTTGCTTTTAGGCAGATGTCGTGGTTGGGCGTGAGGTGCGTGATCCTGCTGCAAACAGGGCAGTGGTTACAGCTGCGTGTGGCAAGCCTCAGCTCCCCCTGCAAGGTGCAGCTCCTCGCCACAGGCTGAGTTACACCTGGCTCTCACTGAAGGAAGGGCTGTTACCAAGGGGAGGAGGAGACCTTGTTGTAATGTGTTTTCTGCTCATTGCCTGGAGAACTACTTAGATGTCAAGCTGAACGAGACATTGAGGGTTACTTTGCCTACTGCCTTGTAGCTGTAAAACCAGAATAAAGTTCCTGGTTTTAGTCTTAAAAATTAACTTGAGAGAAATTGTACAAGGCTTTTCCATTGAGGAAAATTCCAGCTCTTTTAGTACTTCTGAAATTCTGACCTCTTTAAGGAAAATATGCATTTATACAGGCTGCAAAGCAAGGTGTTGCCTAAAATGCATGTTCTATAAGACCCAACAGGGTTACATCAGGAATTTGAAAATTAATCCTAGTTGCACTGCAGGTATGAAAATCTTGAAAGATTTCAGAAATTTTGCTGTTTTTTTTTTTTTTTTTTTTAAGCAGACTAGAATTAAAGATTTCAGTAAATAGAATTTAAAAGGAGTTGGTTTGAAACTGTCTGTTAGTACACTCAGCTATTTAAACTGATAATTTAAATCAAATTCTGTATTCTGGGGTATTATGTTTCATTAGGCTTGCCTTGTTCTTTTTGGTTGGAAGTGTATAGCAGCAGAAGGTGAAAGCCATCTGTTTACATTTCCACCTAACTGTGGGACAGCATCATTTCTTTGCAGAGAGGACAGTTAGCTGCATGACTTCTAGTGGCCACATAATTTGGAAAAAGAAACAAAACAAACTTGGTTTCTGTAGTAAAAGTTCTGAGATGGAAAGGTAGAATCTTAATCTGTTCTGAAATATAATTATTTGTGGCTAGCAATTTCAATTGCTACAATTTTTACAAAATGAAATGCAAACAACAGAGTTGCATGAAAGGACTGTCAAGTAACTCTGTTTTTCATTTGACAGTACTTGACAACCGTCATTCCTTATGAGAAGAAAAATGGACCCCCATCTGTTGAAGACCTTCAAACATTAACCAAAAGTGAGCATATGAAATTCCCCTGGTCCTTTCCTCGTTGTATATCCAGTTGTGGTTGCTCAAAGCAGTGAATCCATCCAGTTCTCTCTTCCCTCTTACCCTAGGGCATGTATGTAAAGATGCATGATTTTAACCATAGATTTTGGCCACCTTGTTTCCTGAGCCTTCATGTTAGGTTTGTTTCCTAGCTGTTGTCTGAAGCCCTGAAGGCCAGAAACCTGCAGGTATCAGAATGTAAATGCTCCCATGTTTTGATATTAGCTGCATAGCGTGAAATTTGGTCTTACAGTGCCTGATACATCCCTGTTTGTTTACATTTGCTGTGCTTTACTGAGGTTATTGTAATGACTTTGACAAAATGGAATGGATGTCAAGATACTTACGACTAGTTCAATAATGATTGCACTTGATTGCCTTTAAAACAGCCTGCTTCTTTCTGGTTTTGGTGGGGTGGTTTTGTTGTTAATAAATTTTGATAATTAGAAATTCCGAACACAGTTTTGACAATGCTTTGAAGTCCCTTTTCTTCACATCTTTTTTAGGCAAGATCCTCAAAAGTATTGCAAGTTCTAAATCCTCTAGTTGTTTGATTTTATTGGGCTTTTTTTTAAAATTCTAATTTGCAAGAAATCAAGGTTGTCTTTTAAAAAATACTTATTAAGGTGGTTTAATACAGCAAAGCATCTCTAGGAGTCAATAGCATCTCCTTCACTGGATATTTATAGGAACAGTTTAAAAATAGGTGGTAGAGTGCATCAATGCATTTGATCAGGCTTCAGTGGAGAATCTCACTATGTCTTTAAGGTGATTTTCAGCAGCAGTTCTGTGATTCTACAGGTGTCTGAGGGGTGGTAAAAGGCTCATTGGTTGTTTTCTGGAAATAGAAAATTAATATTATATAAATTCCAGAGTAAATGAAATGTTTAAGTAGGAATTAAAGTTCCCTTTATTTTTCTACAGTAGACAGCCTTAGGTGTTAATTCGTACTTACTTTGTGACAAAGGATTTCTCATTTTATGTTTATTCTTGTCATGAAATTTTATCCTCTTGCCATATTTAAATTTCACTTGACACTATTAACCATGTGTTAAAGCCTCTTGAAAACATTTTGTGTTGTTTGATGGTTTATTACAAAAAGGTCTTGCACAGATGCATTGTAAAGAGTATTAACAATACTGATTTCTGTGGGCTGGTTGGAATTTGATCCTGTGAGTCAGTTGCAGATCTGTGACTCACTGTCTCTGCTGTTGTTCAGGCAGGCAGTAATGCAGGTGTTTAGTTGGTTGTTCAGTTGTTTTTTCTTTCAAAGCTCTGTATTACTCCATAGATATGAACACTAATGTCTTACTTCAGTGTAAAAATTGAAATGAAACACTTGTTATAATTTGAGTTTAGAGTCTCATATGAGGAATTTGGAGTTTATTAAATATTGCTTTTCAGTAGAATTTTGTAATTTTGCTTCTTTCAGTCATGTCCTGAGTGCTTTATAAAGAATAGTCATTGTTTTTCTTTATGTAGTGACAGACAAGTGTACACATGTCCAGTCAAGCTTGTCCATTTCTTCTTCAGAAATAGGCAAGATGGACAAGACCTACTGCTATATGTCACAAAATGGCAATTTGCATTATTATAAGTTAATGCTGAATTAAGTCATGTAGTTAAAGGTTTTTCAAATCTACAGCAGATAACATTCACCATTTCAGGGAGGGAAAAAAAGCACCACTAATATTTCCATATTCACTGTATTTTTCCATTATTTGAGGTAATGATCAAAGATATTAAGTAATGAAGCATACTTTTCTGCCCTGAGATTTCCAGCTCATCAATAGTTGTTAGCATACTTTAGTTTTTGGATGTCATGACTTTCTTTTAGTGAGAATCTTTTATAGGGAAGAGGTGCTTGTTGTTGTTATGACTGATGGCATTTTACTGTAATATTAACCACATGAAATGGGACTCTTGCCTTCAGAAACTGTGCAGTGAGAATTACACAAGTGAAAGGTGGAGAGGATGTGACGTCTCATTGTATCTTCTCATCTTTCACTTAAGAGATTTCTTACATCTCATAGTAGTATCTCTATGAGCAGTTGGAACTGTTCCAAAGTATTTGTTTTATGTGTTATGTTTCATTTATGAGTAAATATCTGATTTTTTTTCATTCTTTAGTTCTGCATGCCATGAAAGAGGATAGTGAGAAAGTGCCAAGCTTGTTAACAGACTATATTTTAAAGGGTGAGTATGCTTCTCAGCAGGGATTTTATTGGATTCTAAATTAACTTGATTGACTTACAATGTGTATTTGAAAATAGTGATCCTACAGCATTCATTAATTATGTTACCTTTCAATCAAACACAGCTCTTATTTATGTTCTGTTTTGTCCAAGCATTCCGAGGTACAGTTCATACATAAAATATGTTTATTTTGTTTGTGTTAGTAAAACATAGCAAACTGCTGAATGACATCAGCAGGCACAAAGGAATTTGGCTTACAAAATGAAATGGGTATAGTTAACATCTTCCATTGCACAGTTTTTTTAGTTAATTGGAACTCAAATTACCCATGGCATAGCATTTGCTATGCAAAGTGCTTCCAGTTTCTTTTCAAGTGCTACCTTCTGATCAATAATAGAAAGTATTTATTTCACTTATTATACCTTCTTGAGATATTGTTTTATAAGGTTTTGTATGAGTCATTTATTTTCCAGTCTTACACATTGATTGTGTTTAAAGAATGTGAGACATGAACAAATACTGTTTGCCTTAGTTTTAAAGGAGTTGTTCCAGGTAGTTTCCAGGTTGTAAAATTATTTTAAAATGTTTCACATCTGACTTCATTTTTGCCTAGATCTTACTAATGCTTATGTTCTTACTTAATTCTTGGCATATGATACAATTTTGTTAAGTGTTTAAAGTTTAGCAAATGCATCAAACTCCCAAGATCTGAACAAATACCTGTGCAGAAAGATTATGGGTGCCATTTTGTTTGCCACCAAAATGTTTATAATACTCTGCTTTTCATATGCTGCGGAAGTTTTTCTCTTATTTTGGTATCATGCATTCCAAGTCTCATCTTGTTTTCAAATATACTGCCTTTTGACTTCACTCACTCCATATGATTTTTAAAGGTTTTTGTATTTCTTACACAAACTTGCAGTCACTCTCATAATCTCATCTCACAGATACTTGAAAGGTTTGAGTTATGGATGACATATAGTCTGCTGTCACTTCAGAAAATCTGAAAAAGACATACAATGTTCTGGAAGCTCCAAGAGACTTCCTGTTGAAAGAGATCCTTTTCTGAGTTTTGTGTAGGGTTGAAGAACTGCCACATACAATAAGAATGCAGAGATCCTTTCAATTGATTCCTTTGATTTTTCCATTGTTTACTTATTCTTTCTAAAAATTCTTCCTAAATTAGACAGATGTGTTTGCACGTGAGCCTTGTAGGATCATGTTCAAGGTTTTTTTAGTGTTGATGGGACTAATCCGTAGTTCTGTGAAGCAGAATCTTTGTCCCAGTAGGATGAACTGTTGTCATTAATTAAAACTTTTTGCTCTTCATAGTACATCTGGTAGTAGGTGACTGGATTTAACAGTGCTTTTCACAGTGTCTGCTCTTATTTTTAGATGTATCTACCCAGAAGGACTTTCAGGTTACTGAGATACTGAGGAGAAACTGGCAACTTAGGGAAATGGAGAAATCTTTTTTAAAAGCAAAGGCTGATAAAAGTAGACTACCTGAACATATGAGAGGATGAGCTAGGAAGCTTGAACTGAAGTCCCTTCCTGCCTCTTGTATGCTCATTACTTAAAAATCACCAAGGATATTCTACCATTGAGATGCAGCAATTGAAAAAATATCATTCATTGAGTGTCTTGGATCAAACAGGTTGTCCATCATATGCAAATACTGTTGCCTTTAAATTGTGGAACACAAATTGTGGGAACATGAAGAGTAATCACTCACATCATTCGTAGCAAAAGGAAAAGTCAATTTCCCCACAGCTACCAGTTCCTTAGTGAACAGAACCAAGGCTTTCTTCATCCTGTGTGGGTTTGTGCGTTCAGTGGCAGATAGTTGCGAGCAGAGCTAGTGAGCATAGAATTTTACTCTTCCTTTCAGTATAGCCTTAACTAAGCTTTATATGCTATGTTGGCATTGTACTAAATATTTATAACTCAACTAACAATGTTAGCTTGTACTGTAGATTTATTCTGTGGCACAGGCAAAGTCTTCCAGTTGTTTCTGAAGTTGTAACCTACTGCTCTTTTTCTGCCACTAAAACTTCTGGCCTGAAACTCCTGCAAGGCTTTAATGGCACAAAATACTCCCAGCCACCAGTTTATTGTCTGGACATTATTTTTAAAGCTTGTTAAGAGGAGATTGGTTGAATTCTTAACAACCACTTAGATCAACTTTCACTGAGCTTTAATACCTGAAATTCTAACCTATTTTTTAAAATGCGAAATAAAAAGAGTGACCTACTTTTAGAGGATTCTGCTCTTTTCACTGTAAAGATTAAAAATGTCTTGGCAAGGTAAAAATCTTTAAGAAGATTTAGGGTTTAAATTTGTTTCCTGAAAGAAGTTCTGGACCCAGTGGTTTAATCCATATGGTGTAGTGGTAATTGTATTCATTTTACACTGAATGGATTTTATTGCTTTTTCTTAAGATATAATCAAGAAACTAAATTTTGAAATGTGTGAATTATATCACCAGAGGTACTTGGTTCTTTTAAAATCTGTTAAGTACCTGTTCCTTTGAGGATCATTTTTTTCCAGTCTTGCAACAAAAAAACCAGTAAATTACCTGTGATATTAGGATATGTGTAGCTTTATGGGAAATCCAGTTTGGCATCTGACTGCACCGACATAAAAACTTTTTTCAACCTTTATATTATGTTTTGCAGAGCAGAAAAAATAAATTTTACAAACATGCTCTTGATTATTTTTTTAAAGCAGCACTGTCTTGCTATTCTGTGGTATGTAAAAAAATAGGATATGCAGTCTTAATGTGGGTGTTACAGCTGTCCACAGAATTATTAACAGACTTGCCCAGATAGTAGTGCTCACTCTTGAAAAGTTACTTAAATTGTTCAGAAGCAAAAATTGAAGAAAAAAATATCAGGAAAAAGATTATTGCCAAAGTATTGTTAGTACAATGTAAAGGAACAAGTAGAAGAATGCTGTGAACATGGAAAGGTGAATGGAACCATAAGATTGAGCACAATTGTTGATGTAACACAAAATCTTACCACATGACTGGTGTTCTGAGGATAGTGAAATAAGTTTATATTTTCTCTGAATTCCATTGTGTTTTGTAGAATTCAGAAATTCTGTGTAATCTTGAATAACTTGAACTAAATGCCCAATAATTCTGAAATTTGGATCGTGTAGGAAGACACAGACACCCTCTGTGTGTACTAATACTCACTATCTTCATTTAATAATGATTGGGTAAGGTTGTTTGGACAACAGCTGGAACTTGAAGGACAGTTCTGCAGCCAGATCTGCGGTTGACTTTCTGTGTTACCATGGATCATTCTTGGATTTTTTTTCATAATCAACTAATCCTGCTGAAGTGCTGGAAGTGGAAATCCTCAAAATGTGGTGTGTGCAAATCCAGTGTAATAAATAAATTAAAAAGAACAACTCTGGCCATTTCATGTTAGGGGATAAAACCACCTCTATATGCATTTCTCAGTAGGATTATTAGTTTTGAAATTATTTCTGGTGCTTGCTTTCTTTAAAGCATCTTCTTTCCCCAATTTCTACTGCCCCCTTGTGTCCCCCAAAATGTTAATAATATCATTTTCCTTGTCATGCTTAAGTCGCTCTTTCCAGGGGTCATTTAGCTCTCCCCTGGATCTTTTCTGTAAGGAATATCTTCTCAAAGGTAAGTATCCCAATGCCAGACTAAGTACATACCCTGTGAAGAATCTGGTATAGTGTAGCAGCTTATTTTCTTTTGTTCATTTTGCTCTTATTGCAGCCTAAATTATTTTCAAGGGGATACTTTTTCTTTTGTGAGGTTCTGTTTCATTTTACTTTTCAGTGAACATCTATCCTGAACCTAACAAAATGAAAGGGAATTAGTGATTATCTTTGCAAGTGAACTCTAGTTCTTCTCCCACTAGTGTATGATTTATATTATATTTTATAGATTTAGAATTAAAATAGGTGGTAACATGAAATTGATCAGCATTTGCAATTGTGCTTTTTTTCTGAATGTATTTTAATATACCAATATTGTTATTGTATTTTATCACTAGGAGTCATGAAGGAGAAACTGGGATTTGAAAAAGGGTAGGGGAATGAATTTACTGGCAGGGAAAGAAATACCAAGCCAGGACTGAAATTCTTTATTATAGAAAGTACATTTCTGGACTGAAGCTGGCAGCTTAGTAAGGTCACAGTATTTAAATGCTGTTTGTTCTCATCTTTCTATTGACCTTTTTTGATGGTTGAACTAATAGAATGTGATTTGAAAACTCTGTGCTTATATCCATTGAAAGACATAAATAAGCTAAGTTTTTTGTGCACAAGTTAAGCTGTAAAGCAGATGGAGATATTTATGTTGTACCTTGTAGCTGCATTTGGTTTAGGTGTTGCAACAGTAGTTAAGTACCGTATCCTTTGATGAAAATGTCTTTGTATGAACAGTGCTCATTGAATTTTTACTTTATTTTTAAAACTTTGAGGTTTTGTAATGACTTTCTGCATAATGATTAATTTGTCAAGTGCAATAATACAAGCCGTATTTTATATTTATTATAAAAATTAATATTTATATTATTAGTATTATGTATATTATATGTCATGTAGTTACATCTGTAATCTTTGCAGTGTGGAAGTTTAGGTTGCTTTTTGAAGAAAATGCCTCTGTGCAGTTGCTTGTCTCTTCAGTTTCACAAGTAGTGATTGCCAATTTCAACCCTACAAGACAGAAGCAGGTGTTGTGGGAGTAACAGAAATACTGTAGGGAACAGCATCTAGGTAGGAGAAGGACTGGAGCTGCTGTTTGCATTGAGCTGGTGGCTGTTGCCTTGAAAAGCCAGCATCTCTTTGGGTCTGATGTATTCACCTACTTGAAGGCCCGTACAGGGGCTCCTGTTTTTTGGGGCATGAGAACAGGGAGAGGGCCTGCTGGGACAGACTTCACAGCAGATTTAAAGTAGAGGCTGAGGACAACATTGTGGGAAGGGGAATTATCTTGTTTTATTGCTATATGGGTAGTGAAGAATATCTGACAAAATCTGCTGGAAGCAAGAGTTCCTTAATTTAGCTACTTCCAGAACAAATCAATAATATATATGAAATGTTAACTAGTGTATACACACAATTAAATATTAGAATAGATTGTCTGGTATCACATCTAGACATGTTATTTCAAGATTACTCCTTTTATCTTCCAGTTTTTACAAAATGTGAAGATTTAGCTTTGTGTACAAGAATAATATCTACATAACTATTACATAAAATATATAAGTATGTACTTACAGCTGAAATTATTTCCTTTGAAATCAGATGCGTCATTACAGTAAACTTTATACGATGTATTTACTGCTAAGCTTTGCGTTCTTTTCCAATTATCCTCAAACAGTAACTGTGACAAAAATAGAGTGATAAAAATAATATGCTATGCATTACTAGTTAGTAAAATGCATGAAGTGTCTAGTATTGTTTTCTTCTTTTTTCTGAATGTAGATGTTGTGAAAGCAGAAAAATTGCCCGTCTCTCTCCTTGCTATTTCATACCTGATCTTTCAAGTAAAACCTCATAATTTATTTTGTTTTAATGAAGGAAGAGTTTGCACCTTGTTCTATTTTTAAATTATGCAAGTATTTCAGATAATGAGAACATTTATTTACTTGCCTTTGAAGTTTTTGTTTAATTGTTACACCTGACTTCTTTATTTGCTTTTGTGTTGTGCTAGCATTGGTTTGAAAGCTGGATTGCTCTGAGGTTTGTGTCTTACATTAAAACAGGAATGAGAAACACGTGAAGGACATGTCTTATCTTGCCACTGTGTGATTCTAGTACCCGCACCAGAATTAGAAAGTAGAGCTAGAATCTCAAATTGTCAGTGCATATTTTTAAAAAATAACTGCATGCATCACCTGTTATTTAATATTCTGTTTTCTGATACAACACTATAAAAAACACTATTTAAGACATGACCTTTAGTTAACTCATTTCTGGATAATACTAGTTAAAGGTAGTGGGTTGTGTCACTTCATTACCTTTTGAGAGAGGATGAAAACTTAATTGCCAGTTTCAGTTGATTACTAGATTTTACTGTGCTACTAATAGGGTAGAATCCAACATTTAAATATTTTAGTATATGCATTACATTTTTATGCAGATCAACTTCACTGATATTTATCAACGTGTATTTGTGGTTTTTTTGCAGTTCTGTGTCCTACGTGAAGAGGGCTGCCTTTCAGAATTAGCCATGCTCCTTTCTGTGATGAGAAGCTTTCCTTGGATAAAACTCATAGTATTTTTTCATATGGCACTATACTTAAAGCAGTATTCATTTTCCTCCTCCATGTGTGTGGATTTTCTGATCCTACAGTAAGTCATCTGGGCATGACAACTCATCCAGTTTAACTTAATAGTGCAATGAACTAGAGCAGGGAACAAACATTGTACAGTTTTACTTGCATTGTTCTGACTTTTTAAAGTCTATTTTTTCATTGTATAGCATGTAGTAAATCCTCCTGCACATTTTGTTGTTGGAAGGAAAGGTAAACTTTGAATAGTGTAAATAAAATAAGCTTCATTTTAAGGAATCCATATTTAAAATCATCCTTGATTACTAAACAAAGATGAAAAAATTATCTTAGTCAGACTTGGAATTTAAGATTCAGGTGAGTTCTCCAGGACACTCCAGAAAGGTGATTGTGAAAGTCAGCAATCAACGCTGCTTTGTATATAACAGATTTGTTCATAGATGAACAAATCCATATTTCTTGGTTTGACATAAGTAATTGTGTGTTACTTGTTCTTGGTATTAACACAAACATCTGACTAATGTAATATTTCATGTTTGGTTTTATTTTGACTAATAATGTTCATGTGGCTTAGATATTCTCCCATATTGCTGCTATAATTTTACTGGTTTTAAAAGATGTTTGATCTTAATGAAAATGCTTCAATATATAAACATTTTAAAAGGCAGTATCTTTTTAAAAATTCATGTACAGTTTGAAAAACTTGCACCTGGCTTCCAAGTTAGTATTATATTGAGATGTTTGTTGTTATGTATCTCTGAATTTTACTACAAATATCTCTTGTAAATTGTATGCATTGTCTCCTCTGTGATGATGTACCTGCATTCAAACAGATGAGAATGTACTTTATAAATCATGTAAAAAAAATGTTCCCCATATTCTCAACTTCAAATACTTGTCACAAGTAATTTTGCCAGTCTAAAAAGTGAAACTGAAATGTAAGCAGTACCTATTAAAAAAACAAAAATAAAACAAAAATGTACTTTTTTCTAGGTTGAATTCCTATTGATTCTTCATCCAGATGTATATACTGAATATCTGAAGGTGTTGGAATATGAGGTTCTAAAGAGATAATTATGTGTTTTCTTCAGGTTTTTTCCATCTAAAATGTTTAGGGGTTTTGTTAAAGAGAAATTTTGTTCTGAGTACCTTGCATCCATCTTTAATGTTCAGCTTTATCATCATCACTGAATACTATTTTGATCAGTAAAACAACATGGTTTAAAGATAGTTCTTAAAATGTATTTCAGGTTTGTTTTTTTTTCTCAAGGCCTCAATATTTTTGTCTTTTGTGCCTTTTTCAGCTTAAAATTCTTTTTCTCCTCCCTCTCCCCCACTTGACCACCAGTTGATACTTGCCAGCCTGCTCAGGAATAAATAGGTCCTCTCCATAAGTGTGGCATATGTGAAGAAGTTTTTTTGTTGCTTTATTTTAATTCATTTGTGGTTTCTCTAAAAAGAAGGCAGCCATTTATTTCTGTAGCTGGTGTGTTATAAATTCATTATGGCATGCTTTTTGTGTAGAAATACTTGATGTTAACTGTTGATGCCTAGAAATGGGCAAAGGGGATGACCCTGCTTTATTTTAAAAAAGGTGCACATGTGAAACCCACCATGTCTCTGTGTGAGATTATTCAGAGGTGCTTCAATCTTCTGGTGAGGCTTGAAGTGACAAGATGAAATAAAATAAAACAACAACAATTAAGGGAAGCGTAAATAAGGAAAAAAAAAAAGGAAAACAACAAAAAAACTTCTGTCAAAGTTTATGTTACTTGTAACAAATCTTGGATGACTTAAAGTTACAAACTACTAAAAGTAATGAAACTGGAAATAAAGACCAGAAACAGCTTTAGTGAGCTAAGCATCTGCTTAGGAATTTCATGCCTCTCATCAGACTAAACAAGGTTTCATTATGAAAAGTACCTGTTTACCTTGTATGCATTAAACAACAGCTGCCAAATGTGGCAAGTATTATATGTATACCTGTATATGTATATAAACAGATCTCAAAACATTTGAATAAAAAGAACTGTGCTTATCTGCTTTTCTGCTGAGTTCTATGTACTTTGTATTTTCTACTATGCATCCTTTTTTCCCAAATCCATTATTGAATCTTGCATTCTTTCAGGGAGATGGATTTCTTTTTTTTTTTTTTTTTTAGTTTTAGCATGTGACAGGTGTAAATGGCCACCCAAAAACAGCTGACAGATATCTTAGCAGAGTTCATGAAAATCCACTCCACTATTGTTACGAAGAGTCCTGGAAGTGAAGTTGCCCTAAAGTCATTGAATTTTAAGGTACTTATATTTGTGTCACTTGCTTCAGTTGTTTGTTTGTTTTTATCTTACCCTTTTTCTGTGTTTCAGCTATTTTGTTTGAAATTTATTTGCTTCATGAATACAGTTAAAATTTTGAGCCGGGGTCTGTCTGGACAGGATGTCAGAGGTAGTCAAAAGTCCTAAAATGATACGGTTTTGGTTAAGGGAAGAAACTTGAAAGCAACTTGAGTTCCCTTCTGGTGATAGATAATGATGTAGCTGGACTCTCAGCTGGTGTAGGGAATTGGTGATAAAGAACATCTGCTGTTGACTGTGCCAGGTAATTGTAGCCTTTAACCCGGAGTAGTATGGTAGCTGTTCGCATCATTTTTGCTTCCAGAGTGGATTACCTTGGGATTCTTTTTGTGTGCTTGTCCTTGGAAACAAGACCAGACCAGAAATGGCACCCTGTGCTTGCAACAGTGTTGATAATCAAGCCTGTATCTGCACAGCACCTTTCACAGCAGCTTCCTCCTCATTTCCAAAGGGACAGTTTATGGCCTGGGTTTCAGCTCATGAAGCTGTAGATGGTGCAGAGCCTGTGCAGCAGGAAACCTGCTTCTCCTGCTCTGGCAGCTGCAGTGGACAGCAGCAGCCTCACTGGCAAAGCTTTCCAGTGGAGTGCTCCTGGTTCTATGGATCCAAACCATCTGACTGAACCTACTGATTCCTCATGTCATTCTGCAGTGGCTCTTTCTTCTGGGCAATGGTGGAATTATTATTCAGTCAGATACTAATCCTGATTTTTAAAACTCATGAACCCCCCAAGTTATCCCTGGATATGAAAATACTCTGAAAACCACTTAGACTGTCATACAGTAAGTATGAAATCTCAGAACAAAATGGATCTTGAGTCACATTGCGTGAATTTAGTGTTCTGCTTTTCTTGTGGGCCCAGCAGTGTTTATTTTAACCCTGAACAGAAACACTCTGCGATACAGGCAATCTACCTGTTGTAATGCAAAGACAATACAATTTATTTTCAAGGTGTCTACAGTTTTGCAGGTAGCAGTGTGGTTTGAGCGTTTTATAGGGACCATCTAATGATGGAGAATTGCTAGTTGCCTTCCTTACAAAGTTTCTTACACCTGAAGAACCAGAAGGAATGTGTTAAAGTGGTTTGTCCTGGTCAAATGAACAGGTGAATTGAAATGTCTCTTTCCCTTGCTAACATTGTTTTGACCAGGACCTACCTCAGGAATTGTGGCTGTTTTGTTTGAATGTCTTGATCAGCAATGGCTCGCTGGATTAGCTGATCACAGTTCAGTCTTAACAATAAATACAGAAATGCTATAGACCATGAACCAGGAGATCTAGTTACTGAATTTTGTTGCTGCATTTTTTCCTCCTTTTTTTCCTTTATGGTGTATAAAACTTGAATACTGGGGTCATCATCCTAGAGCACATTATGCCCTTCCTAATGCACCCAGGATTTCATTGGCCTTCTTGGCCACAAGAACACACTTGGCTCATGGATGGCTTGTTGTCCACCAGGACCCCCAAGTCCCTGTCTGCAGAGCTGCTTTCCAGCAGGTCAGCCCGCAGCTTGTACTGGTGCAGGGCATTCTTCCTCTCCCAGTGTAAAACCCTGCACTTCTCTCAGCTGAATTTCAGAAGTTTCCTCCCTGCCCAGCTCTCCAGCCTGTCTAGTTCCTTCTCGAGGGCTGCACAGCACTCTGGGGCATCGGCCACTCCTCCCAGCTTTGTGTCATCAGTGAACTTGCTGAGGAGCATCTGCCCCTTCATCCAGGTCATTGATAAACAAGTTAAACAATCCTGGACCCACTACTGTCAATGTGCAAGTTCTCATGTGTTCCCAGATGCCTGGGTCTCAAAGCCATGTTATAGAAAACTTTCTTCCGCCAAAGACTGGAACTGGGGACAAGATGTGGGGAATGGAATCTTAGAAAGTAACAATCAACTGGTCATTCACTGGTTCATTTATGCCCCACACCTCCCTAAACACACCCCTTGGACTCAGTGTTGGGAACGGTGCTATCTGCATTGTGTTTGGATACAATCTTAGCAGAGGGCTCACCTTATTTGAGCTGTCTGATGGCTTTTCCAATTGACACTGGCACAGTTGCCATTAGAAAAAGGATATTCTTTTATTTATGTGCATTCTGGAACTAGTTGTCTGAAATGGTTAGGGTTAGAACTGGGCTAAGGTTACCATCCTCTCTGGAGTCTGACCACTGAATGCTGCAAACCTCTCCAAGTAAAAAGGTGACATGAGCCCATTCCCACCTTGTCCTTATTTTCTGCTTCAGAGAGTAATTTGTGGTAGAATCGCTGTAATGGCTCATGGCTTTCTAAGATCTGAATATTGCAGGTTACAGACAACTGGCTTTCCTTCTGTGGCATTTAAGAATAATAATGTTTAGTTCTTTCTAAAACGACACCCTTAAAGGACTGTTTTCTTTCAGGCAAGTGTCAGTCTGAAATACATTTGCCTGCCACAGGATGGCAGCAATCCGTCACCACTGAAGCATCGCTCAGTTCGACTGTGGCATCTCAAGATGAAGCCCAAAGATAAGCTAGTCACACGCGATCGCTTTGTGAACGTGGTATCACAAGCACAGGAAGGCCTTTGTGTACACTTACTCATTATTAATTTAAGCCATAGTTTACGACGTTTGTTACAATGTGATAATTTGCTTAGCTACAAAAGCTGGCCCTAGGGATGAGCTCTGATACTCTCTCATATAGCAGTTGGTATGGGAGTTCGTTCTGTGGAGGGTTGAATACTGAGGGTAAGGTAAGTAATCTCTTTTTAATGCTTCCCAGTGAGTATGTATTTCCTACCAATATCTGAGGGGTTTTCACCTTTAGGCTTGTGTTTCCTCTTCCTAAGGCCATCTGAACTATACATTGCTACAGTGTGATGCCCATCTGCAATATACCTTCTCTTTCCCTGGAATTCAGGACCTCTTTGAAAACATTCATTGCCTGGAGCCAGTAATTACTATTTTCATTGTATGTACAGCTACATACAATGAGTTTGCTGTCACCTCTTCTGAAACAATAAATTAATTGCTTTAAAAAAAATTTTATGAATTTTTATATCCATGCATCTGTAAGTCACTTGTAGTAGTCCTTGGTTGGTTCTGTCAGCAGTGACTTGACCCAGCACTTACTGGTAAAAGCAAGATTCTGTGAAAGCTGAGGAGGCTTTATAGCTGTTACCATGTAAAGGATCTTGTGAAATTAAATTATTCTTTGAAGCCCTTACTTCATAAAAGCTGAGTCTTTCTGTTAGAGAATGCAGTTTTAAACATCAAAAAAGTGCAGGGGCAAAATAGGATTTGTGGCCAGCAAGCTCTATCCTGACAGACAGTAAATCATGCTGCCTCCAGCCAGGGATACACATCTCCCTGTCCAGCACCCTGCAGTCTCTCTCACCCCAAGCCCAATGATAGCTACAAACCTGAGCCATCCTAATGGTGCTTCTGCAGAGGTGTCTCAGCTGCTCACAGAACCAGAGCTACCTAGGGAGCACTAGAGACTAGAAACTCCTCCAGCAGGGCATAAAGCCAGAGATAAGCCAGAGATGAGCCAGTCTGCATGGTGGCTGATGTGAAAGGGGGTGTGAGGAAGGCAAGTGAGAGGGAGAAAGCCCTGGACTTCAGGGGAGCAGACTTGGGCTCCTTCAGGCAGCTTGAGATGGGGGGCTCAGATTCACCAGGACAGAGGCAGCAAAGTAAAAGTGTACATTGAAGGCAAATCTTAGCTTCACAATGAGCAACAAAATGATGCTTATAAATGTCACCTGTCTTACTAATAATATTCTCATAGGACTCAGTGTGGAGAGCCCAGTACCAGAGAAGGCATGGGACTTTCTCAAAGCTGTTAATAGCACTCTGACAGGTAGGTTTTCCTGGTTGCTTCTGCTGGTCCACACAGCAATGCATCAATTGCTGTTCCAGAGCAATTTTAAAAAAATTTGCTTCTTTTTGTCAATTCTTTTCCTTGCACAGATGATGGAAAGTACCCTGAAAGTCTTTGCCCAGCTGTTTGATGCCATGTCCCTTTTGGGTTTGAAAAGTCATTTTCAGGTATTTGAAGAAATATATCCTGAGACAGTATGATATAGGAGGACACATTTTTATATCACCAGTGCCAATAATCTGAGGCTGTGCCAGGAATTGTACTGAGAAAAGAAAAACTTGTGCTCCTCTTTACTGCAGAACCCCTTCTCCCATGGTGTGGGAGACTTACTCCTTCCAGTGTTGCTGCATGTAATGGGGATAAATTGGGGCACATCCAAATCTAAAGTGACAGAAATCATACTCTTTGGTGACGGGTGTGAACATGCTTAGAGTCAAAAAACAAAACTTGGAAAGCCCTGAGGGAGGTAGGAAAGGCACAGCTGAGATTTACCATCATTGAAAGTGTCAGGCCAGATGTGGGATCAAGGATCTATTTAACAAAGCACACCTCCTCATCCCTGAGATTCTATCAGGTAAGGAGAGGGAACAATTGAGCTATTGTCAAGATCTGTATGATCTCACATGGCACACAGATGATGTTATAGATCTAAAGATTTCAGAGAATAATTGAATTGTGTTTCACTTGCTGTTCCTGCAGTGGCAGTGCAGGCTCCTGAGCTGTGTACCTCATCATGAGGATGGCATCAAGAAGCATCTGAAAGGTGATTTCCTTCTGCTGTTCACACAGTTCAGAAGGTTTTTGTTCTTGACTAACAGCTGATTGCAGTGTTGGTATTCATCCATTCTCAGTCTCCTGTTGCCATCAGTTTTCATTTCCAGAAATCCCAAACAGGGTAGAAAATCTAACATTTCTGCAGAGAGCCATCTTGTCTGCCACACTGTGAATTACTTCCCTGAGTGTTTTGCTGCAGGGAAAGAAGGAGACAGAGAACGGAGACACAAAATTCTGTCAATGACCAGTTGCTATTTTTTTTTTTTTTGTTTGCCTCTGTCACTTGGAATTACACAGATGTCTTTTAGTCTGACTTTTTCTTGCTCCAAGGGGAAGTGAACATTCAGTAGTAGTTCTGCCACAACATGGATAGCTCTACCAACTCCTCTTTCCAGTCAGGATGTTAGAGAATCAGTTCTTGTAGAATTTTCAAGGAAACTTCCAGTAGCCTTGAGCTTTACAATTCTCTTTCTCAAGAGATACAATGTAATAGAAAGCATTATAAGAAAGCAAATATTTCTGACCTAGTATCAGAAAAGAACCTTAAAACTTCCCACAGGTGCAAGCAGGGCTCAGATCACTTGTCTGAATTGTGGGCAAGCCTTGAGACTGACAGGGATTTTTGGGTTTACCTGGGCAAATAAAATGTCCTTTGTGAAAAGCCTTGGCACCTGAATGGTGCAAAATGCCATTCAAATTTTATCCTTTATTTTTTCCACTTTGCATTGATAAAGTGACCTGAGAACTGAGAGGGTTTTGAAATCTCACTTCTTGTGTGTCTGTGAACAGTGATGGTCTCTGTTTTCCCTCAGCAGATACAGCCTTGGCTGACCTGCTCAAAAGATTATGAGCAGAAGTGGGCAATGTGGTGAAGTGCTCAATTCCTTGGCCATGTCAAGCTACAGTTTGGATGTAACTCCTCACCTCTTTTGACCTTGCTTGGTAGCATGTACTCTTGCCCAGGTAAGCAGCCCATTTATTTATACACCAAGCAAACAGCCCTGTAAAGCTGATACTGCTTCTTTTGAAGTGCTGAAAAACTTTGCCATTCATTTACAAGATCAAAGAGACTGTAATTTTCAGGCATGCCACTCTGAAATCCCTACTGGAGTTGTCTGTTCCTGTTTCTTCTCTAAGTAGTCATCTGCTTCCTTCCTTTCCCTAAATTGATCTCAGAGTAGAGTCCCTGCAAAGAGCATTGATGTTTTAAAACTTTCCAGGGAAAGAAGAGACAGTGTTTTCTTTTCTGTAGGTCTTATGCTGCACTGAATCTATTCCTCTTCTAAAAATGTTGCATTCATTCATGGAAAAGCCCTCTGTACCTCCATGTGGTTTTCCAGTGGAAGTTCCTGGTACCTATTACCTTTTTTTATCAACCTTTTAATTTGAAATTGCAGTGTCTATACTATTTTGTTATAGAAATCAACTTAGAAATGTGAAATGCTTGGAAGTTTTTGTCTTTACATATGTCTGGCAACAATGTTTCCCACGAGGAAGACTGACATCTGCAGTCTGTCTGTGTACCACCATGGCATCTTGAAGACTGCTGAGGTGATGGTATCTGTCTTCTGTAAGACTGTTGATCCCAGCCATGTGGTGATGACAGACAAATAACCACTATTGCCCTTTTTAATGTCCTTTTAAGAGAAGAGGCTAGGAAAGTTTATTAGTAATGCTCACTTGGCATTATTATAGGCTGAGAAAGCTTTACCTGAAATTTCTTATAATCCTTATATCTGAAACTACTTCTCTGTTGCAGGTGTTGGGACTGGGACATTGCTTCAAATTTGCAGGGAGGAGCAAACTCCTCCCAAATTTGCAGGGAGGAGTGATGGCATGCCTGTTTTTTTCTTTAGGAAATGCTGCTGGAAAGCAGTCAGCTTCAAATAAACCCAGTGAATTGAAAAAATACATTCTGATTTTGTACAGGTCCTAGGTTTTGGAGGGGAAAGAAAATAAATGAGTACTTCAGCTCCATTAAATCCTCACAGGAGGGACTGTAAAGGGAATCAGCCTTTCTCTACACAAAAGTCCAGGAAGGGAGAGTAGGGTGGGCAGTGGTGACGAGGAGAGAGACGGCTGAAGTGCTGCAACAGACACAGACATCTGCCTGTGCTCTTGTCATCCCATCACCCCCATTCTTTGGCAAACATGTGTGACTGCATGTTGGAACTCTGATGGCTGAAAACTTCAAGCTTTCTGAATTTAAGGGTGCCAACCCTCAAGTAAACACCTTGATTGACCTGAGACCTTGGAAAAGGCTTCAAAAATTGAGTGATAGCACAGAAAGAGTGTGTGTGTAGTTTGGGTAGTGTTGTGTGATCTCACAGGGTGAAAAAAATTAGATTTAGGATTTATTATATGATGATATATGGGAGCCAAGATGGAGAATTTTGGGTGTGGATTGGATGTCTTTTTTGCACCTTCTTCCTTCTTCTTCATGAATCTGGGTGGTTTTCTCTAATTGGATGAAAGATGTCTGCATTGCAGGTTTTGGGTGATTGTAATTGGGTTAGAAGCATAAATATTATAGATAGCAACTGTTTATTGGATAATTGAGACTTAAACAGCCTTGACAGACACCATTTTAGCTCACTTTCTCAACTTGTTAGAGAGAGCTCCCATCTCATGAGTTTGTAACAGATAAGGATAATAAACTTCTGAGTGAGACTTCAAAAACAACGTCTCCTGAGTTTTATTCACCCTGACCTTGGAGCAAGAAAGAGCTTGGCATTCCAACAACTGCATGCAGGCATTATCCACCTTCAAGGTACAAGCTGGGGCTCTTGCAGGGGGAGTTCGAGGCATGAGCTGATCCTGGCAGGTGCTGGGGCTGAAGCACAGCTGGTGCTGGAGGTGGGCTCAGGTGTTAGAAAGTCAGTGGAGCAGCAGTGCTGCCTCTCCTGCTCTGACCCTGAGGTGCGCTGTTTTGGAATCACCAATGGATTGTGTTTCATCTATAGGGTAACCTATAATGTATTTATCGTGTTTCCAAAATATTCTTAGGGAAGCCAAAGCCCTGAAATCTGACAGAGCTTTCTGGCTTTATGAAATATACGGAATTTGTGACATTTTTTACTTTCTGTCACCAGTGTTGTTGCACATGAGCATGAGTCTTATCGTTAGTAAATAAAAGCTTAATGGAGTCAAAGTGTCTTCTGTGGAATCCCACTGCTTGTATGGATGCACAGCTCCTTCCTCTCCAATAGAGTGAGTGTGTACATTTTGGTTATAAAGTGTTGTCTATACACAGTTTATTGGCAGAAATCTGTCTGCTATAAAATGCCAAAATTAAATTCTGAGCCAGAATGGAGTCCCTTCACACAACACTTAATGGTAATGTAACAGAAGCATAATGATGCTTCTGTTAAAACTGTGTGAGGAAATAATGTTTCTGATAAAACTTGTGGGTTTTACCATATGCCCCAGATACCTGGGATTTATACAGAATTCCTTTGGCAGTCACACAAAAGAGCAAGTAGTTACATAGTGGCAATCCAAACCTCAGTTTGCTTTTCTAGAAATTGCACTCCTGATTTCTTCCCCAAGTTTGGAAGAAAAACTGAAGTGGTTTGTCCAAGAATAATGGTCCCACTAACTTTCCAGAGTGTGGGTGTTAGACTTAGAGTCATTTATCCTTTTCAACAAGGGAACAAGGGACCTTTACCACTGTGTAAGTATAAATACAATGTTTGGGTCTTTTTCATATATTTTTGATGTATGGAAAGTACTAGGCTGAAGTAAACGAAATCATATAAAGGGAAGGAAATTTCTGCTTTCCTCTTTTTTGGAAGTTCAGACATAAAGAATTGTGAGTACTGATACTTTAATATATGGATCAAAGCTCAGTATAAGAGAAGAAATAAAAAGGTTATATTTAATGTTAAGCAGCAACATAGGAAGTAAGGAAAAGTGTCTTGTTGTCCATAAAACTTTATTGTCTTAAATTGATTGTGTATTGTTATATAGCTTGGAAATGATTCTCTAAAAACTTGTACTGTTTTCAAGGGACGTCCTAATAGGTTAGATGCTTTCCAAGCTCTAATCTTCTTTGTGTGAATGACATTCTCAGTATTATGGAAATGTCCATTATCCCTGTGAGTCTGGGAGATGTGCAGGAGCATGAACTAGGTATCAGAAGGAAAACATTTTTCCTTTTCAGGATTCTGGGAGGATGCGTTCTTTCTGATTTTCAACAGAAACTTACAGGAAGTCCATAAAGGGTAAGAGTCCATAAAGAGAAGAATCCAGCATGTCTACACTCCTCTGATGCAGCAGTTTCCCAGACTGGTCCTTGTTATGAGCCACTCCTATTACCTGCTCCACACCGGCAGGAAACCTAATACTAAACATTTCCTAGGAGTCTACAGGATGTAGTTTGTAATAGCACCCGGAAACATTGCAGAGAATTCAGCTGACAGAAGCATAACACCAGGTTAAGATTATTTATATTTTCAGTGATTTCCTCCTCCTGTTGTGTATGCTCTTAATCTAGGACTAAATTCTAATTGTAGTTAAGTCCTTGGAAAGCTCATCACTTTGAATGGAAGTTCTAGGAAGACAACATACCTGAGGTTTAAATAGGAAGTTTCAGGGTATGAACCTTACTGCCCTGTAAATTCTGGGTGTTTTGTGTAAGGCAAACACAAATAATAGTAATGAAGACAGAAATCTCACAGGCTCTGTTCTTGGACATGATGGGAAGGGCAATGCAATGAAAGCACAGTGCCCTAGGTGTTGCTCTGTTTGATGCTGCCTGCACACAATCTCGTATGAACACACTAAGATAAAAGTCTGTGTTGTTATGCTAGCTTGGATGTTGGAGCTGAGCATGCTCAGCATCATCAAAAGCAATCAAAAAGCATCCTCCAAAAGGAAACCTACACTTTTTCAAAGTGGTCAGAATCAACCTGTGCATAATTTGACACAGCACAAGAACAAATGGAATTAAGCAGGACACTTGCTGTTTTCTATAATTTTTTGTGATGACCAGAACTTTAAGGAAGCCAATGCAGCTCTGTCCAGCCACTGCCTGATCTGTGTAACTGGTAGGCACACAAATACAATTATTGCTATTGCTAGTGATAGGCTATGCACTGACACTGCAGTATTAAGGCATGTCAGGCTTGCTTTGCCTCAAATTGCCTTAGCCTGCCTGGAACTTCATTTTAGCTGGCTTAGCTGTGACAGCAGTTTATTTTAAATATCAGGTGACTATTTCCTGATTTGATCATGGGATATAACCACAATTTTTGTGCGGACAAGAATAGTGAACAATTATTTTGTGTAAAGATAAATATTTATTCCATCATCTTAATATTGCAGTGTAAAAGAAAAAGGGCCTGGCCTGGTGATTGAGGGCTGCCTGTGGCAACCCAAGATGCAGGGTAGAGAAGTGCAGACATGAAGAGAGAAGAGAAGAGGGCATGGGAATGTCATTTAAGAGCTGTGGATAGCTCAGAGCAAACAATTAAATGTAAACCTTTGACACGGGTAAAACTGTTTTATAGGTAGCAGAGGAAACAGAAAAGAGGTATACAACATATTTAAGATATTTTTTGTACAGGTCATTCAGACATAATGTGGAGTTGCAGACCAAATAATAAGAGCAAGCTGTAAAGTAAGAAAGAAAATGTACCAAAAGAAGCCCTAAACAGACTTTAGAAAGAGCAGGAAGAAATCAGCAATTTCAACAACATACTGCTTGAGCACTGCTATGGTGTTTCCTTCAGAAAAAAAAAAAAAAAGGAAAAATTATGCTCCCTGTCACCATTTCCTCCCCTGACTGAAGGGAACTGCTTGAAGACGCAAGAGAAAGAGTGGAAAGGTAAGTATAACACCAGGGAGAATGAGAGCTGCTAGAAAGTATGTGTTGAATAGTTATTGAGACTTTTTTCCATGTTCGTGTTCTTTATTTATCTTCTTTTGACATAAATGAAATACATTTGAAAGGCTTTATGCTTCTCTGTTTCTTCCCATGTCTAATTCCCTAATTTGCTGAATTTGCAATAGCTTGCTTAGTTCCTAGAATGCAACTTTAAGTTTCTCCTGACATTAAAGTTCTGCTGATACATGAAATGCTGGAGGTTTTGTTCTGCCTTTTCTGCAGACTGACTTTGTCACATGAGTCAGTCAAAGATCATTCAGTGCCCCTGCAACTGTTAGTGTATTCCAGAGCTTGGTAAGTAGAAGAGCCCTGACACATTCTGCCTTTTTGAACCAACACCTAGGAAATTTAGGAACAGTTTTCATGTCTCCAAACATGTACCATTTTTAAATTGCAGGCATATGATGCAAGCCCATATTTGGGGAAAATTGATGCTCTCACTGGGCTCTCCTCCAAACTGGAGCAGTGAAGCACTGCTGCAACACAGAGAGTAAAAGCACCCCAGTGACAGAACACCAGCCAGCCACTCTTTTGAGGTGGGTTTGTTTAAACCTGCTACTGTAATGAGATCACCACCAAGGATGACTGGAAGGCTTTTAATGCCGAACAGCCAAGTTTTTCTGTAGCAGGAGCTACAGTAACATTCTTTTAATTTAAAAAAAAAAAAATCAGTGCAACTCATGAAGACAGGTTAGAAGTAAGATACCTCAAATCTTGTATTTCTTTGTGCCACAGAGAGGGTCCTGCCTTTTAGCCACTCTATCAGTGAGTGCCAAGAGTGCCCTCCCCGCCTTCATGGGAAACCATCACCTCAGAAGCAGGACTTCCCACACTTCACTTGAAACCTCTTGAAAACTGATTCAGCTGCCAAAAAAGTTTTAATTTCTTTTACCATCACCTAACCTATTCAGTGTAAGTTCAGCTCAGAGCAGGGAGTTTAAATAATACAAAGCTTCAGCCACCTAATCTGCACAAAGTATTTTTCATTCTCTTCAATCATCTTTCAACATGAAAGTAGCATATATCTGAAGAAGTAAGGCAGCCTGTCTTTGTATTAGCATTAATCTAAAGAGTGTTCCTTGAGAAATAGTTCATTTCAAACTGTATATTTCAGTAATAAGCCCTGATCAAGCATTTTTTTCTGTCAGGTAGTTTTCAGTATCTGTCACAAGCTATAGAAGACAACCCCCAGAGAAAAATTAGCATTCAGGATTGGTGAGAGCAAGAACAATGTATGAAACTGAATAGGCTAAAGCCCATAGAAATTATGGCAGAAGTATGGATTTTACAATATATTTATTATGTGATGTAACCATTTTCTTAACTGAGTTTGGCAAATAACCCAAGACAGGCAAAAAAAAAATGGTTTAGACATTTAACTAGAGAATGCATAGAGTGCAGTTGTTTTCATGCTAAAATGTCACAGCAAGAGCTAACATCCAGGGTTAAACAGGCATGTTTTGAAACATAAGCGGTCAAGCATGTTTCACATTATGATCACTCTTCAGCTTAAATGTTTCAGATGTGGTTTTGTTCTACAAAATTGACATTGGCAACAAAAGGGCAGATGCAGATCTGGTTCTTACAGGTAAGCAATTCCAAATGACTTGCAGCAGGCACAGTCATTCCCATTTGTTCATCAACAAGTTTTAAGCATTATTTCCCTGATCTCAAGATTTTTTTTTTCCTTTTCATTCAATGTGTATTAGAAAAAAATCTGTGAAAATTCTTTCAACAACTGTATTTTATTGGAACTAGGGAAAAACTACGTGATCTGAATTTGGAA